TTTGCAGCAGGTAATCTCCGAAACTACTCATCCGATTTCAAAAATTCTTTCACCAATATTTAGAATGGAACTTCAGGGTGGACATAGGCTGTATATTATTCCATTAAACATTCATATAAATTAAAAGATATAATCTAGGTTAAGGCTTTTATGTCCAACAGATGGCGCTACGAGTATGACACCCTAAGTTTGCTTTTCTGTGAGGCATTATGCTTTTCTGTGAAAATGAACTAAAGCAGATCATCTTCTATCTATCTATATAAATAAAAATGTAATGTTCATTTGTTCCTATCGATTCCTTTGAAATTTTGACACAACACTGCATTCGAATACACACGTGTTTTTATATAATATATGTGTCGAAATTTCCCCCACTGAAGGGAGATGATTAGGATTAAGGCTTACTGTAAAGAACTTTGCTTCTATTTATACTATTTTAGATGTGGTTTTTTGTGTTTTTGATTGCATTTTAATAGGGTATGTCAAGAGAATGTACACTAAGAAGAAATTTTTCGAAAAATTCCCCCCATGGGGGAAGTGTTATACATTTAGGCCTATAATAGATATATTTTGAGCCACAACAACGCGTGGCGGGGTCTGCTAGTATATATATATATATATATCTAGACCTGTCTCGAGAGTAAGAAAATTCAACCTTCTATCTTGAATCTAGCGTGTGAGAGAGAGTTTACACCAATCTAAATATTAATATACTACCTTCCCAGTTCTTTCCAATTCTTGTATGGGAACATTCAGTAGTCGTTGTTTCTAAAGATGTGCTCTTTCGACCTAATCCACATTTTGGAGGTGGTCTTTTTCTCTCTTATTTATCATATGGCGAATGCATAGAACGGCCTTCTCTTGTATGGGGAACTTTGTTGAATCATATGGCTCTCTGTCTCTATGGACTACCCAACTAATATGGCAATCTGTCTGACATCGTATTGAGAACTCCCCAAATGGCAGACTCGTTACATCATATGGAGAACCATTCGAATGGCTGACTCCTCAAATAGTGGACTCTTCGTATGACAGACTCTCCAAATGACGAAAAAAATCTCTTTTTATATCGGCCTCCTCAGACAGCCAAGTAACATGTGCAAAAGCCGCATTTTTGACTCATCTCGTGAGTCGGCCGAAGGAAAGGAAATCAACTTCCTTTTTATAACGAAAGTACTTGACATCCATTTTTCAAATAAATTTGTTAAAGTTAGAAAATCTGTTAAAGTAACAAATATTTTAATTTTGATTGAAATTTAAATTGTTCTCCTCTTTTGTTAATTTGTTTAAAATTGACTCCCCTCCTAATTCTAGATCTCACACTGTGTATATATGTATTTTTATTATTACATATAAATAAACTTAGTAAGAAAGTACATATTTTTTTATTTTTTGGAGTCTCCAGAACAAATTAATCAAATTCCCATAAAAACCTGTGGTATATCGATAATCAATTAACGAATAATTCAGATAGCAAACAAAGTCTTCGAATGGATTATGTTTGTTAACTGATCACCCACTGTAGTTTCTAATCATTAACTTAGCCATATAGTAGCCCAATAAGTTGGCACATCATTTGATGTAACTAATAAATTAGGTTTAGAGAGATGTTGATATATAGTATTCACCAATCTATATATAATTAAGAAGCAGTTTTAATTTTGTATTTAAAAATACAATATAATCCACTTATTATAATATACCTTCTGGAATTACCTGTATTAATAACAAAAACTAACTGATAACATAAAAGGGATAAGAACTCTTGTGCAATTATCAGAAATTCTGAGTTTATTGATTCTGACATTAAACTAATTAAATAATGCATAACTTAGAGATTTATTAGCTAATGTTTCTGTGAGAATCAAGCAGTTGTTTTTCTGTGGATTGCAAAAAAAAAAAAAAATTATAAGAAACTTTTCTTTATTCCATCCAGTTCCCACAGAGTTAAAAACAGGAGATGATCAAATGTTAATTTAACTATAACAATCGCCTAGGAAATTCATGTTAAAGGGGGTCTTTGATGCATCGATGTCGAATTAAAGTTATAACAGATAATTGTTAACGTGTGAGAAAGTTAACATTTAAACAAGTCCACAGGGGAGAATCTAAAAACAATCAAAAGAAAGAGTAAACTATCCACCTGAAGTAGACTAATTCTCACCATCCTAGCTGGCCTGTCAATGACACATTCGAAGTGTCATAATGCCAAAACAATAAGTCATCTGATTGAATTCCCACACCTGATGGAGATATAACAGCAGCGTTCCTGATCTTCGGGACGATCAGTCCCAAAGAAATACCTTTTTGCCTTGTGAAGTGTGTAAGTGACTTCCAAATCATCTCATTTCCCAGATACCTCTCTGACCTCCCTAACAACTGCCAATCCACAATCGTCATACTGACATCAATGAACAGGATCCGGAAACATAGAGTTACGAATACTGTCCCAAGGTACTGTACTTTCACTTGTAAACTCTCTCTCGATAAATTAATGCCTCTGTATTTAGATAGTTGTCATCAAACAGATCCTAGATGTACTATCAAACAAAGACAAATATTGTACTTGTATATAGATTTGGTTGTTTCAATGTATTCTGTGCTTTAGTTTATTAAACTTTTAATATCTGTTAACCTGGTAACCTGTCTTAACTCAGAGAACAGACCCTATTGACTTGCCTACAACCTCCCCACTTGACAGTTTAACAGCTCTCCTATTTTAAAGAGCCATCCAGTGACAACAAGAGTGGTCTTCACCAGACTGACACTGCTAAAAGGTTAGGGACCAATCCCCTAACCTGTGGATTATCTCACATTTCTGTTAAACACTGTAATGATTCATTAACTATAATCATTATTTTTAATTAATAGTAATTTATCCAGTGTTGCTCGCTTGCTTTTGCAATATTGTCTTAACAACAGCTAGTATATAACTGAAGTAAGAAATTGAAGTAAAATTTAGTTTAATAAACTATTCCAAAGTACAAAAACTGAGAGCCAGATGAGCTATCTATATATCTTAAATATTCTGGAAATTTAAATAGTTTTTTACAATTAAAATATACTATCATATTTAAATTTTACTTACCTTTATTAACTCAGTTTCTATGATATTAGATGATTCAGTTAAATACTCTCTAGCAATTCCTATAGCACAAGATAATTCATCTAATGTTCCCAAAGCCTCAAATATGTCATCATCTTTTTGCCTTCGTTCCCCAGTAAATGTTAATGATGTTCCTATTTTTTTAAAAAAGTTTAAAATAATCATATAATACAATGTTCAAATGTTAATTATGAGATATGATAATTTGAATGTGCTAAAAACTAATACAAGAATGTGGAAAAACAGATTTAATCAGGCTTCATTTACAGTAGAGTCCTGCAAACTCGATTTAATGTGAACCAAGAAGCCAATGACTTACTGGAAATGACAAGTTTTACAACATTGTGATGCTAATATAAACAATGGAATTTTCATAAAGATATTATAAAATGATAGTTTCAATAAATTCATATGTAGTTTCAAGAAAATTCATGTATTTACTTTATTGGTCTACAATTTGAAAAAAATTGTAGACCTATCAACTTGCACTGTCTTCTGTCTGTCTTTCCTTAATCTCAAGAATGGAATTAGATAGATGAAATCTGACACCAGATATAGAAACATTAGGGGCAGGAAGCACCTATATAATGAGTCTTTCAATGTACATTGAAAAACTCTTTATTGTATTGTCTTAAATTGAGTTTGCAGGACTCTACTGTATACGTAAAGCCTGATTAAATGTTTTTTCACATTTGTGTGAGTTTTTAGCACCTGATTCAAATTATCACATCTCATATTTGACAACTATGGTGTACACCTCCATTAATTTTCACAAAATGTCAATTACTACTAATTATATAATCAAGCTGAATGTTATGAGCTAACTGTATTTAATCCTAAAAAAATATTAAAACAAATATATATTTTAAGTAGAAAATACANTTGTTGTTTTTTTCACAAGTAGATTATAGAATATAGTATTGCATCAAAGCATCCCATGGTTGAGGGTGTAAGATTACATATCTCAATCATTTTTATAATTATAATTTGTGGAATTTTATACTAGATATCAGGAAGGACAAGTGCTCCATTTGCCTCTCTGTAGACACCCACACTTGCATACATAATAGAACAATTATTAAGCAATTAATAAAAATTTTATTTTAAATTAAATGAATTTACTTACCTTTATCGCCTGTCTTTGTAATAATCAAGCTGAATGTTATGAGCTAACTGTATTTAATCCTAAAAAAATATTAAAACAAATATATATTTTAAGTAAAAAATACATTTCTCATCATAAATTTAAAATACCTGTTATAGTGTTTACACATTAAAAAACATCAAAAAATAATAAAAGTTCCAATACAACTGAGGAGAGGACCTGTTCATATATATGTCTTTTGTAAATTTTCTTTTTTTTTTGCCTGAGAACACTTGATCTGATTTTTCTACAAAGTTTTGTATTTCAAAAATGTTTGTCAATTTTGAAAAAAATATAAATCTCTACCAAAAGCATATATAACACAAATCTAAGATTCAAACATTAATATTACAAAACACTTGACTAAATCAAACTATTTTAAAATTGAAATCATGAATTGGGCAACAATTTTTAAAAACTATAGACCTATAAATTTCCAATGGCATCCATCTGTCTCTCTGTCTGTCCTTCCTTAATATTGAGAACAGTAAGATAGATGAAAGTTGAGACAAGATATGAAAAATTAATAAACAATTTAAAACTATACAATAATGAATAATAGTCTTAAGGTGGAGTCAATCTTTTATTAGAGGCTGCTCATCTGCCTAAGTAAAACATTACATGACTTCCTTCTGGTGATGGCAAAAATAAAAAATTTATATATTTGATAAAATTGCCAAGACAATAGTTGTAAAATTAATAAACGATTTAAGACAATACAATAATGAGTCTTTTAATGTACAGTGAAAGATTCATTATTGTATTGTCTTAAATTGTTTATTATGTTACAACTATTGCCCTGGCAATTTTATCAAAGATATGAAAAGCTTAGCAACAAGAGGCACTGAATAACTATATACAAACTTTCAGTTTACATCAGAAGTCATGTGATTTCAATTCAAAAATTTTCTCCTGAATGGAGTTAGCTAGATGACTGGCATGACTCTATTAATGACTTACCTACCGCGCTCCCCACTCAATCATTTAATGAGCCCTCCTAAGCTATCTGACGACACCAAGATCGGGTTCAAACAACCTGTGCCAAGTTAGTGGTCAGTAGGCATCTCCCACTTGGCCCTTGGCTTATCTCACAATACTAGTGTGTCTTTATTCCAATCCAGTTCTTTCAAACACACACTTAAAAAATTAACAATCTTATGGCGAAGTCAACCTTTTATTGTTCACCTTCAAATATCCCTCTGGAGGTTGCACTTCATATAAAATTAAATAAATACATTTGATATAAAAATATCACCAAGACGAGTTTATCATTACAAAAATCTTTTAAAAAATTCAACTTACAATAATGCATTGATCCACAGCATAAATTTATCTTGAGCAAATCAAGAACATATTGAAAAATTTTGTTTGATTTTTCACACCTTCAAATTCTACAATTCATGAGAAGTTGCCTTATTATTAAACATAGCATGCATGAAGAACTGTTGGTGTACAGTATATTGCAGTAGCATTTGAGTAGAGTACACACATACAATAAGCAAAGGGAAAACTCTCAATGTTTCTACACAATTCAATGCAACAAGCAAAGAGATTGAATAATTATTGTTCAAGATATTTCTCATTGAAATCTTGGCATCCTTTTTGATGACCCTCTGTAATAACTAACTTTTTTCCAACTGCCACAATATTTGTTAAAATAAATACTATGCAATGCTTTAAAATAATCAAAAAGACTTTCTGATGAACTAGAAGCATTTTATTCAATTTTGTCAATTAAAGACAATTAAAAATATTGAATAAAATCATTTTTGTAATCAACATAGGATAAAAATATGAGTATATTTTCAAATCTTGCATATATGGGCATCTGCAGAAAATTTTCTTGTGGGCAAAGATTGGAGACAAATAATTATGTCAATAAACTTTTATTTAATTAAATATTTTTTGGGGTTTTTTTTCACAAGTAGATTATAGAATATAGTATTGCATCAAAGCANTGAAAGTTTTTTTTTAACTTTCTGTTAGAATTTTTTATATGAGTCGTTTATTTTTTTCTGCTTCCTACCTGTGGGCACTAAAAGGCCCATCGTGGGTTTAGCCAAACCCACAATGGGGCGGCCGGGTGGTGAGGGAACAGGTACGAGGGATCCAGGATAAAGCTAATTGTCGGATGGCCAAGCAGGTTAAGGCGTCAATCAGCCGCTTTCGGGGATTCAAGATCAAATCCCGGAACCGATCTCTTGTGAAAAAATCCTATAAATGTTTTCACAAGAGATCAGTTCCGAATATATCGGGCTCCTGCTCTCACCGTCCGTGCGCCGCTATTACGGAATTGAACGAACTCGTGATGGGTGAGAATCCGTACTAGTGCCCATGTAGTGCAAAAAATAACTAAAAAATTCGGGATAGACTATCTCCGAAGAATTCCCGAATTGCTAGCCCTAATTCGATTCCAGGTCCCTCAGAGTGATAGACCGACTCCTTAACCGCCCGATCATCCGCCGAAATAATTTTTTTTTTATATGTTATTTTACCATTTGTTTATAGATTAGAATATTCAAATCTCTTTTTCTTAATATTTAAAATAATAAACATTAAAAATATGGATATGATATATTTATAAATAAAAAGACTTACTTATAATTTTATAAGTAAATAAAATTAATTTATCTAAAAAAAACACCTCTAGGTNATAACAAAATTAAGCTGGTCAATATTTCGCAAAAGGTCACAATTACAGGTATTGTTCCATTTATTCTATTATAGAATTTATAACACATTCATAATCGTGTATAAAAATCCCTTACATAATATGAAATAAAGTTAAATATTATACAGTATTTAACATTGTAAACAAAAGTAGCTAGTACCACATGATCTAACCACGTGCTAAACTATTTACCTAAAACTAAGTGTTGCCAGATTGAAGCACAAACTGAATAACGCAGTCGGCATTTATAATTATTTATATACCGTACTGTATTTAATTCGAAGACCGTTATTTTGAAATTTTTAATAAACTTTTAGACATGTATCATTATCAAGAACTGCGAAATTTTATATGTATTTTTAATAAAATAGAAAATTATTTTAGAAATTATTATTATTATTTTTTTTTTATAATTGTTCGAATTATACAGTGAAGTTCGAAAATATTTTAAGAGAAAAACGAATTTTCTTACTTAAAAATTTTATTCTGTAAGTTTTTTTTTAACTTTCTGTTAGAATTTTTTATATGAGTCGTTTATTTTTTTCTGCTTCCTACCTGTGGGCACTAAAAGGCCCATCGTGGGTTTAGCCAAACCCACAATGGGGCGGCCGGGTGGTGAGGGAACAGGTACGAGGGATCCAGGATAAAGCTAATTGTCGGATGGCCAAGCAGGTTAAGGCGTCAATCAGCCGCTTTCGGGGATTCAAGATCAAATCCCGGAACCGATCTCTTGTGAAAAAATCCTATAAATGTTTTCACAAGAGATCAGTTCCGAATATATCGGGCTCCTGCTCTCACCGTCCGTGCGCCGCTATTACGGAATTGAACGAACTCGTGATGGGTGAGAATCCGTACTAGTGCCCATGTAGTGCAAAAAATAACTAAAAAATTCGGGATAGACTATCTCCGAAGAATTCCCGAATTGCTAGCCCTAATTCGATTCCAGGTCCCTCAGAGTGATAGACCGACTCCTTAACCGCCCGATCATCCGCCGAAATAATTTTTTTTTTATATGTTATTTTACCATTTGTTTATAGATTAGAATATTCAAATCTCTTTTTCTTAATATTTAAAATAATAAACATTAAAAATATGGATATGATATATTTATAAATAAAAAGACTTACTTATAATTTTATAAGTAAATAAAATTAATTTATCTAAAAAAAACACCTCTAGGTCTCAAATAAATGTTTGTGAAGACAATGCATTCAAAGTGTTACGTTATCTTAACGTTAATCGATTTCAATTACAGTATTTCAGTTTTAAAAGGAAAATGATTTTATTTTGTATTAAATAAAATGTTTAAAATGAAATTTACGGATGTCAAATAAATTCATTCATTGTAATGTTATCTTCAAACAATTCAAACAGGAATTTCTGTTACACACACACATGAAATGTTTTAATTTTTGATTTTTTTCGGTTCAAAGGCACTGAAAACGATTAAAAAGGAAACAATATGCAAAAATGAAAAATATAATCGTAAAGTTTGACGGGATGCAGATAATTTCATTAAAAATAGAACGTGACCCAAGTCGTATGTTTTTAGACGTCCTCTGGAGGGTCAACAATGACATTGACGAAAATAAAAATATATTTTACCATAATTTATCTATATACAGAATTATTTATACGCTTTTCTTTCTTGCTGTCTCTGGAACTTATGATTTGGAAGATTCCATTTAATATTTGAAAAATGATCCGTGTTAGACAGTTATTGATGGTCCTAGTGTTACCACCCGTCCGGTTTTCACTCGGACAGTCCGGGAATTAACTCACTGTCCGGGTGAACTATTAATTTTGTCCGGGAATTTCGTAGAAATTGTGAAATTATGATGAAACAAAGTTCTTGCAAATATTTTTACAAATTTACACTATTTTTAACAGCGAAAGAACTCATATTCACTGAAACTCATCTGCAATTCTGACATGTTCGTCTGTTTGCGTGTGGCGCGCAACCTGTCGACCTTTTTTTCCCCTTCTTTTTGCATGTACGATCGTACACGTCTACGGGCTAAGTTGTCTAGCACGTTATTCTTTGCATTGTAAAATGACATTGCGCATGCGTCAGGAACTTCTGTTCAAACAAACCTGAAATGCAGTGCTGTGCGATGTCTATAATTTTAACATCGATGTCAAACATCGATGTTTGCCTAAGCATCGATGCTAAATTTCGATGTCGGATTTCACATCGATGTTTGATCGATGCCCATTGGAAGGAACATCGATGTTCAATTAAGATAAACTCAAACAATTTAAAAAAAAAAAAAAAAAAAGGTTTGTTCGAACAGAAGTTCCTGACGCATGCGCAATGTCATTTTACAATGCGAAGAATAACGTGCATGCCGGTTCTAAATCAGTTACAGTTAGGGACTAGGGACTTGCGTAGGAGTAACGTAAGTAACCTAAATTAAGAAAGAACAGGTACAGATAACTTAGCTCTATTTGATACGTGTACGATCGTACATGCAAAAAAAGTCGACAGGGTTTTTTTTAACTATTTCCGCCCTGTGGGCACTAAGAGGGCCTTTTATAGCAGGCCCATTATGGGTTCGGCCAGGCCCACAATGGGGTGACCGGGTGGTGAGGGACGGGGCCTGACATATCCGAACAGATCACCCTACGAAAAATTCCTGGGGATTCCTTGACCCGTCCGGATTTGATCCCGGGTCCCCCAGACAGGTAGGCTGCCACCTTGACCGTTGGCCATCCGGCCTCAAAGTCGACAGGTTGCGCGCCACAAGTCGGCGTAAACAGACTAACATGGCAGAGTTGCGGATGAGTTTCAATGAGTGTGAGTTCATTCACTGTTAAAATAGTGTAAATTTGTAAACATATTTGCGAGAACTTTGTTTTATCGCAATTTCACAATTTCTACGAAATTCCCGGATTGTCCGGGTGAAAACCGAACAGGTGGTAACATTAGGAACAAAGAATGAACTGCATTCATCGATGAATCGAAATTCACATATTGCTAACATCAATTCAGGATCTATGTTTCAAAAACATTGGAAGGTCGATGCATCGACAAACAAAAACATCGATGTATCGATGTCACATCGATGCATCGCACAGCACTACTGAAATGCCGTCCGGGTCAGCGATTTTGAGAAGGTGGCAACACTAGATGGTTCTGCATTTGATAATATAATTTATTAAGCCTGACCTAGTGGAAATTCAAAGTGTTGTTTCAACAGAAAATAAGTCAAAAGACAGAATTTACAGGGAAAATGATTGTTTATTTAAGTTTACAATCATTTAACTCTCTAGTACTAATATATGGACTGTGAGCATGGTCAATAACAGGATGAGAGAGTAAAATTCTCTGGGCCCAGTATTCACAGGGGCTGGGATATCTTCCCACAATTTATTTTATCACATGCTATTGTAATATCAAATGCTTAACAATAACAATAGTTCTTTATTTTGTAAAAACATAATATATCCATATAAAAAAACTCAAATTTTCAAATAATATATTTATTTGGGATCCATGTAAATTTTTCCCTGGATCCCATGATGTCTCTTGATACCTCTGTCTATGAGACTGACTAGTACAGAATTTATCTACAGTATAGCTTTTGTATGTATGCTGGGAAATTACTGCAATTCCATGTATTGTACAATACAATACCTTGCCTGAATCATGCCTGCCATTTGCATATTTCAGGTCTGTCAAGAGCTGGTTTGGGGCCTGAGAATAGACCAAGCCCTTTTAGCCTTTTGTTTTTTTAAATATGTTGAATCTTTCCTTATTTATAAATAGCAATCTTGAAGATTTTATTTTCTGTTAAAAGGTTCATTTTATACTTACAAGAATCTCTATGGGCTCTTAAGTTTTCTCCCAGCCCAAGAAAAAATCCCCAGCTTCCCATCTCAATGAACCTATTCATTTTATCCAATATAATCTTTTGGTTTGGTCCTGTTGATCAATGTTAGTATAATTGCTACATTTTATCAAACTAAAGTAAGGGCAATATTGTGGGGACTTATTTAAAAAAAAACTTATTATCCTAATATAAGTTTATTCTATTAAATATTAGATAATAATAATAATATGTTGCATTTCAAAAAGTATTAGCTAATAATGTTAAATAATACTGTAGCTAAAATAATAATAGTTTATCTCATGAGTACATTTATGAACTTGTTTCATATTATTAATATAACTAAGCTATCATTCTTATAGTTATTATGAATAAATTCATTTGTTACATTACAGTTTCATTATGTTAATTCAAAAATTTATTTTCTAGAGATTATTATAGGTTAGAAATGGATTCTAATCAATCTACACAGTAAGTAAATTCAATCTATTTTTATACAATATATTTGCTATATTTTCTTCATTATGTCATAATAATAATAATGTACTGTACATAACCACAATAAGAGAAAAGAACACATGATAAAAATTCATTATAACAGAACTAATTATAGATAAAAGAGAATCCAGCACAACAAAATCATTTGGCACCTGGGGTAAACTTAAATATGGTATCTTTGGATAAACCTTTCATTAGTCTGTTACAAATTTAATACTTCTATGCATCTGTAGCTAGAACCTGAAGAAGACCAAAAACATTAGTACTCGTGTATAAACGGCTAGAAATAAGTGAGGAAGGTTTTGTATTGATCATCACAAATTTAATAATCATAAAAAATGCTTTTTATTAATATAATGCATATTATATTAATATTATATTATTATATGCTTGATAATAAAATTTTTCATACTCGTATGTAACAATTTTTTATGAATTTATTAGTTTGCCCACATAACAATTTTGGAGTTTTGGCATTCATCATCTTGGCCATCTGTACACCTCCTTCAAAGTGTCCTTGCCTTTCCACAGCCCTGCTGCTAGTAATTATGAACTGAAAATAAAATGGGAAGAGCAGATAGATGTGAAAACAAGTGCACAAACTGTGCAACATGGGTTTAAAAGAAATTTGGACTGATGAGTAAAATGCACAGATAAGCAGCAGTAGTCTTATTTAAAATTACTAAACCAAGATATAGTAATTTTTAAAAAAAGGTTTAACACATTTGTACAAGTGCTGCAACAATATATTGTGGTAAGCACGTGGTGATGGATGAATTCTCACAAAGAGACAGGAATATAAAACAATAAGACGTGCTTTATTTTACTGTATGAACATATATACAGGAAAGGTTCGTTGATTCCGACCTCCTTGTTCCTCACTTTAATTAAACAAAAGGGAACAAACAACACCGATTGTTGATTCACAGTGGAGCTAAACTTTTCTTTCGCGTAACAAAGGAGACACTTAATTACTAACTTAAAACTACTTATAACTAGAAGAGGAAAGGAAGAACAAGAATTAGAATAGAATGGGAGAACAAGAATGGAAATTTCTAGTAAGGAACGGGTACCCGAATGGTTGACTGCGGTGGTGGCCACTAGATGATTTCGTCTTGGGATTCTTTTCTTCTATGGGGACGGAGCACATGCGAGGACCCAAAGTTCGTCCTTTAGTCTCGGCTTTACCAATGTTCTTTTTCTCTTCCAAAGCTATTTCTATCTTTAGTGTTCTTCGTAACCCTTCCGGCCGAAGCAACACCGATCTCGGGACCGCTCTCTCCGACGGTCTTTCCTCCTCCGGTCCAAAGCCAAAAGTGTCCTTATCGTCCCCCACTTGCCCTCTGGGCTATCTTCACCCCTTTGTCCCGAAATTGGGTCGCTGACCACCCACATTCAGACGAAAGTTCCAGAAAGTATAGAAACAGAACAAAGAGAAAGGGGAATAGAATATTCTTATATATACATATATAAAATAAAAACAACAAAGATATACTGGTGTACCACCACAATATGAAATAAAAAAAAACTTCTCTAAAAATCAACCAATTTCTTTAAAAAATTTATCTGATGTACAAATAGAAAAGGTTCAGCAACTGAGGTCATATTCTTTGCTCCACAACACCAGAAAAGTTGAAGTTTTTATCACTGTCCTACTGGGATACGCCTATATAGTGAGGATCTTCTATGACCAGTTCCATTATATGTTTAAAAACATACAAGAAAAAGGATACTCTCCACTACTTTATAAGCATTTTATAAGAACATCTACTTTGATTTTGAACATTAATTTGATTTATTTGATTAATTTATTTATGTTTTATGTTCATTACAATAGTTTTCAATTAAATTGTTTTTTCTTTACTAAGGTTAACAAAACTAGTGAGTGATCAAAGCAAAATATCTGGATCATCATCAACAAAACTTAAAACTATTTCATCAGGAAAGCAAAAATCAGGTCATGCAAAAGGAAAATCTTTAGGAAAAAAAGATGACAAGATAAAATCCTTTTCAACTGAAACAACAAAAATGGATAAATTCCAAGAAGTCGCAAGCATTCATCAGATTCCTGTAGAAAAACAATTATCAGCTGCTGAACAAGACTATCTTCAGGCTAAATCTTATCTTATGACTGCAAGTTCATTAACAAATATTAGTGTGTAAGTATTACTGATTTTTTTTAATTGTTGTTTATTAGTAAATGTAATTTTAAACAGTTTACATGTGAAATATATTATTTATCAAATATTTTTAAAGCATGAAACAAAAACTTATTTGAAATACTTATTATATAATCTGTTTACATTTATAAAATATATTAAATAAATAAATATATTCAGAAATAATTTAAAATTTTGAGGCACTTAATTTGAATCTGAGCATTTTTATAATAGAGAAATTAAGAGGGGAGGGATTCAGTGGTACACCCAGAGGGGGGCCAAGAAGCCTTTACACCCTCCAAAGAAAAAGGAAAACAAACACTAGTAAATTTTCCAAAAATCTTTTTAGTTAAAATTTATTTTTTATTTATATTGTGTTGTGTCTTTTATTTGCATACTACTAATGAATTAGTGGTCACATAAGGTGGGAATTTTATTGAATTCGCATTAAAAAATTTTTATCAGGCTTCCCCAAAATTAAATCATGAGCGTGTCACTGGAGGAAGTAAAAATATGAGTAATGATGATTAAAAATTGCAGCCTGGCATTGTGACAATATCACAATAATTTTGTACATTTTTTTAATGTTTTAATTGCTCAGATCTTCATTCTCTCTTTGGTTTGTGAAGATGGATGTGCAATCTAGCAGTGTTTTCAAGAGTAATTTTTTTAAGCATTTGTTCAAAAAGGCATTTTATATTGGATTATACAGGGTGGGGCAAATAAAAATGGCCTGGAGAACTGAGTTCCAGGGTACAAATAAACACAGCAGAGGAAAGGAAATACTGTACAATACTAACCTGATTATAGCAGATATTGAAAGTGACCACCATTCATCTCTGGCACTTTTGGGCCCTGGTCAGCAAGTTGCTGAAGGAGGATCAAAGCTAATCATATCCACTCGTTCCGGCCACTTTTATTTGCCCAACCCTGTATATTTGAAGTTTCTGATGTATTAACGAATATATAATTCTCTAAAATTCATGTTAACTGTGATTCATATTTAGAGTTCAGTTTTAAATTAAAATGTTTATGATAGCAATTGCAAAACTATATAATTTATATTTCAGATGAAAAATTATACATAAATTTGTGGATGTATATATCAAGTGATTATATGAAAACAATTACATATATATTTGTAGTTATTTGTTTGATTATTTATAGATATGACCATCTAGTAGAACTTTTAAGAAAACTTTTAAGTGAAAAACCTATTAATGCAGTTGATGCACTTGAAGATATAAGTGAAAATATAAAACTACGGCGTCTATATAGTAAAGGAGAATATATTGAATTACCAACTAAAATTTTAAAAGTTGCTCAATCTTATTTACAGTTATTAATGGTAAGAATATCTTATTTAATAGATATTAATGATAAGCAAATATTTTGTATTTACCTTATGTATTTTATATCAAGAAAATTCTTAATGCTTTAAAATTCATTTAAATGAGTTTATAACAAAAACATTTAGTCTTGTTTTATAAACACAATGTAGCATAATAATGATCACTTGGCACTATTCATTCTTTTATTTCAATATTCGTTGATTACGCTACATTGCGTTTATAAAACAAACAAAGATACAACACAGTTTCAAAACATGGAAGAACATTTAGTCTTCTTAATATCCACAAGGCAGAAAGGTTTTTTAAGTATATTTTGCTCTATATAAAAAAGATATTATCACTTAGTACAGGTAGAGATAATACATAATATTTAAAAATTAATGTAGTTTTTTAATTATAATATCTAAGTAAATTTTCAATATTTCTGAATTTGTTATATACATTTTTTCAATTTAATTAAAACCTACACAAAATGCCTGGTAATTAAATTACTATACTTAAATCTTATATTTTAGATTCAAATTTTTTAATTGTTATGTTTAAGTAAATCTTTTATAAAATATTTTTTTTTTTTTTACAGAAAATTACAATTAAAAATGAGGATGGTGAATTTCCAGTACAATCAAAAAATTTAATGAAAATAATTGATGATAAGAAAATAATTAATAGCTTTAAACCATATTTAACATTTTTACAAGAATGTGGAATTGGATTAAGCCAAGAAGAATATTATCACATTTATTTCTCTCTCATTTTCTTGGCTAAGACCAGACCAATTGAAAATGTTCGGTTTTGGGGAAAAATATATGGAATGATAAATGATTATATTATTGTAGAAGCCACTTTGAAAAATGATGCGGAATTAAGTGATATGGAAGACTTAATGTTTAAAATGGTTTGTTTTCAATCAAATTATTTAAAATGGTAATGAAAAATTTATCATAAATAAATATACACATACAGTATATACAATTTGACCAGACTGTTTAGGATAAAAAACAAAATTGCACTCAAAATGCTATTGGGTTTATACATTCTTTTTCAAAAGTCTCTGAGGAAGAATCTGAAAATCTGAAAAACACTTGAATGCATCTGATTTTTATACATATTTGCTCTAAAAAAATGTATTGAAACAATAATCAAACATACAAGTTTAATTTAATGATTCAAATGGAAATTTGATAATATGCTAATTGATAAGTTTGTTGATTTTAATTGAAAACGTCTTTGGCCTTTTAGTGCTCTCAAAGTGGAAAAAGGCATAAAACCTCAAAAAAAAAAAAAAAAAAAAAGAGAACATCCAAAAGATATATTGATCCATAATTACATTGGATAAAAAATTGTTAGGTCTAAATTTCTCTATTAAAATGGATAGAAAAATTTTCAGTTTGTAATTCAAGTATATTTTATGATTTTAAATGTTTATATAAACATATAAATCTGATTAATTAAAATAATTACTTAACTTTTAATAAATTTTGCATTGCAGAAAGAGCAAGAAGAATTTCCCAATATCAATTATCCTGATGATTATACTGGACCAAGAGATCAGTATGAAAATTTGATTCCTGTTCAAAGTATATTATTATTATTTCAATTAACAATAGTTCATATAATTTTTATAATAGTTTTGTATAAACTGATAATTTTTACATTTTAAACATGAATACTTTTAAAATTTTAAATCAGATTTATGTAATGAAAATTTTCATATATAATAAGTTATTATTATTAATATAGGCATTTAATAATAAGTAAATTTTCATTCATTATCAACTTGTTAGAAAAACCACATTTGTTAAGGAAGCTTCTCAAATTTTGTTTCTCAGAGCAGAAGTTTTTGGAATCGTCAAGTACTTTTGGGTTATATATCTATCATCAGGAGTCATCTAGTGAAGTAAAGCTTAGAGAGAAAACATTTCTATCAGTAACTAGACACATCTAGTAACTAAACAACATCCTTTAGTGAGACAAACATACATAAATAAAACAAATCAGCATTCCAGCATCACTTTCTTTGAAATGCAAATGGAAAAATTAACACAGACAACAAGCATTATAACAAATGTATTGACATAAAGGTAACAAAGTGGAACAAGAAAAGGATGATGGAGAGAAAAGGAATCTACATCTTAAAGTTTATAGTGTCATTTTTTCTCATAGCTTTGTAAATTTCTAACTGTTCTAAATAGCTAAGTTGTTTTTACGGACAGTGTTATGTAGAAAGCATACACAGTCAAAATGTACAGTATGTCTATGTTGGGGTTGGAAGCCAATGTTTTTAATGCATTGTTGGCCAGCCCTTTCAAGATGGAAGTCTGATGTTTTTTGAGGTGGGTGTTTAATGTTACTCTGTAGCACCCCACATATTCTATGTTACAGTTGGTTCTGTGGTTTGTAATGGGAATGGAATAAATACCAGATTGGATGCATGTCTGGATGGTCTTTAGGATTGTGGATGAGGATGAAAACTGAGGGACTTTTTCTGAAAGCTAGTCAAAAATTATTTCTGGCAATTTTCATGTATAGGGTGGATAGTCTTCTGTCATTCATGAGGGAACTCTGAGGTTTAATTTTATTTTAAAATTACTTACTCTTTTTTTATCACAGATGACAATTACTGATGACAAAATTAAGATTAAAATATTTGTTCTAGCAGGTGGTGATTGTTCAGTAGAGTACCAAGATACCACGGTATTTGATTAACATGATTTTGATTTGCATGGTAGCATTGAGGAATTAATTAATTCTGTTAATCAAGGGATACCTGTATATTAATATTCTTAAGTGTTACTTTTGAATTTATCATCATTTAAAAGGAATTATCAGACCAGTTTTAGTTGGAAAGTTCACTAAAAGATTTTTTTTATTAAACCAACTATACTAAAGATTTTTTATATAATTTAATAAAAAAAATCTCTTATTGAACTTTCCAACCAAAAAACTGTGGTCTGATAATTCCTTTTAAATGATAGCAAATTCAAAAGTAGCTCTTAAGAATATTAATTATAAAATAAAATAAAAAGCAAATAATATAATAATATATATACAAAAGCAATTTGTATATATGTATATATATATATATACACAGGTAACTTCTTGCATAATGTACTTACAGTGCCTTTTTTTATAACTTTATGCCTTCTACATAACACCTCTCATAAAAAATGGCTTAAATATTTAGAGCAGTTAGTGATTTACAAAGCTGCAAGAAAAAATACTGCTATAAACATTCAAGATATAGATTCCTTTCCCTCGCATGGAAGTCATTTTATAATCTTTAATCTTACAACACTCTCCCTTCCTTCTCTTTTTCTTATTTCATCCCTCTTAACACATGGACAACTATCCCCTTGTTTTAACAGCTGTGAAGATCAGTTAGCTTGAAGAAGCACAGTCAAAAACATTTGCTTTTTGATATATTTGTGCTGGAAATTGGTTTCAATTGTTTTGTTTATTAATTACATCCAGTTTTGAGCAGTTGATTAGTTTAACTGCCATTCTGTTGACCAGTTATGGCTCCTTAATTCATTTTACATATGGTAAATAATACCTACTTCATTCATAAGTACAAATAACAAGGTGACTGCTGCTATAATGTGACAAACATTAACTGCTTTTTATTTCTCAGTTCCAGGGTCCTATTGCATAAAAATTACAAGCTATTATAACAAGCTATTAGTTTTACAAGTCACATGTTTAGTATAAGCTATACGTTGTAAAATAATAGTGGTTGCATAAATATAAGTATTTACAAGTTAAAAGATACAAGAGGTAATTGAAAAAATAATAAGTTGTAAACTTTCTGTTATATGAATCCAATTTCTCTACCTAGAAGGTGGAATGCTTGTTACAAGGAAAAATACTATATAGCAGCCTTGATTAACAAGTCAGTCATGATCAACTGGTGAATCACTGCATCATTTTTGGTCCATTAAAATTCATTATTTTAATAGGAATATTAAATCCATATTTTTTTTAATGGAAAAATCTTTTAACTATTCACTATGGGTTGGTAACTGTACTTTATGATGTAACATGTAGTAGATAGGAAATAGTGATATTTGTGTTAATAATCATTGCTAGGTTTTGTTGTTTTAGAAATTGTTCTATTGTGCATTAAACTATTTCAGTTATGTTCAAAATAACTGCACTGAAGAAGAGCAAAATTTATAATTTGTATGACAAAAAGATATAAATTTCATTTGTTGTTATAGGTACTTGTTATAAATAAATGATGCTGCTTAATTTATATTTTATTGTCTTTATCAAAAGAAGATAAACTGGAATGTTAATTACCTGTAATAAATAGATACAACTATGTTTTGCAGCTTAATTTTATTAAGGTGGATCATTAAGGGCTTTTATAGACTAACAAACATTGGCTGTGTTTTATACTTTTTATGTAATCAATTAATTAATTAAATCTGTAAGATAGAGTTTTGTTTATACATTAATATTATATATAATGTGATGTTTTTATCATTTCCATTTTACAAGGTGGTAACTAAAGTCTCTCCCCAGCCAATTACAGTGACTGCACTGTAATTGGCTGGGGAGAGACTTTACTATTACTGCCCTTTACTTATTTCAAAAAATAATAGGGCAGTCACTGTAATCTTTTGCTGTTGTATACTATGTTGGTCATGTAATAAGCAGCTATAATAGAAGGGGCAAAAATTTGCATTTTTAGTGCAAATTTCTTCTCCTTCCAGCCTTTCTATTAGAGAAGTCTGTTATAATCTCAGCCTCTAATAAAAATAAAGCAATATTGTCAAGTACAAAGTTGTAGTATGAAAAATATGTAATATTACCTTTAGTGTATTCAAAATATCAAGTAGGATCTTTTAACAGACTGTCAAATATGACAGATAAATACTTCACTGCATAACACACAAGGTGTGCAAAATTGCAAAACATGATATCTTGTTACTGATTATAAATAACTTAATACAATAGAGTTTGCAAATGGCAAATAGCTTGCAAAGAACTTGTTGCTTGTAACTTGTAAAGCTCGTAACAACTACAAGCATTTTATGCAATGGGGTTCTGGAGGGATGATGGAGCTCATCTACTATAAGCAAAATATGTAATTTTATAAATGTTTTAAATTAAACAATATTAAAAATTAACATGGGATGTTAGGCATCTTAAATCTGAACTTATATCTAATTACATGTAGGAACTACACTACATTTAATTGAATACGTGCAAAGACTATAGTACATCAGTATTCAAAAGGAAGCACAAAAAGAAAATATATTTTGAATGTGACTACAAAATACTCTTTTGAAAATTATATTATGTTTTATTTTTTCTTGACTTCTATTTCATTTTTTGAATTTTTATACGAAGAAATTATATAAATAGTTATGCTAATGGTTACATAATTTTATGTTATAAAAATATGATTAAATTAAATACATGCAGACTCGTTTGAAAAAAGAAATAATTCACAAGAAATAAGAAAAAGAAATAAATACTGTATTATTTTTAAACATTTTAAAATTTTAATTTTAAAATTATTCAATAATAATAATAATAATAATAATGATATCAGAACATTTCTAATTAGACTTAAACTTAACTATAATTAAATATAAAACTAGTTGTACAATTATTATATGTACAGCTTATTATTTATTACTGTAAATGCGATTATATTAATTAAATAAATTTTATTTTATATAAAAGTTGCAGCAAAGTATATTAAATAAAAAAATAAATAAAGTTTAAATGTATATATTAAGAACTATTTTTACATTCAAATATAAAGAATACTTTTGATAAATAAATAAAAATATTTTTATTAATTATTTATAGAAATTCTGGATGATTTTTTGCCATAAAGTTTTAGCACATTTTTATTATAATTCAAAAGAAAAATTAACGTAAATAATTCAAAGGAATGTTCATAAAATAATAAAATTTGATTAGTGAAATCTGTAATAGAGTTATTTCAAGTGGGATCTGAATACGTTATCTCAATAATTAAACAACTAAATTTTAATTAAAATGATAGAGATGCCTAGAAAAAATGAATGCCTTATCTTATTATTAAAAAAGTTAATCTTGTAGAAGGCATTTTCTCATGAAGAAAATTTAATTTTTTTAATATTTTCTTGAAAATATACAGAAACAAGAGAAAGGAGACGAATAAATTTAAGTCATAAAAAAGATTAAAAGTTTTTATATATTCTACGTTTTAAAGTTGTTCAAATTGTACGAATTTTTAATAACAAATTATTTACTTCTCGTAGAAAATATAAATCAAAGCCTTTATAATTAAAATTGAGAATTCCTTGTTAAATTTTCGGAATGTTCTTAAGATATTAAATTGTTTTATTATATTAAATTTTAAAATTTTATCATTAATACTTTAGTTTCTATGTTAAAGTTTAACATTAAAATTTAAATATCAAAATTTATTAAAAATTTAACAGTGGATTGTTTACTTGGTAATTTATAAATTATTTATTAGGAAGAATATTAATTAAGAACATTAACAGTTTCTATCAATTTTGTGCAATTAATAGAAATTTAATTTTTAAAACGAAAAGAAGAGAAATATAATTAAATAGCTAAATATTTAAGGAATTTCTGAGTTAATTTTATTATATTTGGAGTTAACAACGGGAGATTAACTTTATTTTTTATTTTTCTTTAAACGTTATTAATGTTTTAATAAAATAATATTTTGTCAACTTGATTACATTAAATTTTTGTATAATTTACCAAACTAAATTATAATAAGTTTAAAAATTAAAACAAATTACATAATTAACTTTAATTTTTAAATTCTGCTTAAATATTTTATTTTGTGCATTTCTCAATTAATTTATATTAACACGAATCCAATAGAATTCAATTTGGCTAGAAAATGAATCGCTGTCATCATTTTTATTTACTTAAATTTACGATTAGTAATAGGTTTCTGTGAATTAATTAATGATAATAAAATATAAAATAATGAGTTTAATATAAAAATAATTATCACTTGTCTTTTAAATATTACAAGATAAAATGGCGGAATATAAAAGAGAAAAATAAATTATTATCATAGATTTTATATAAAAATCTCATTAATTCTTCGAGCTATATATCGCATAAACATTTAAATTCGTTAATAGCTAAATGCTAAATAAGATATGAAAGCTCATATTCCATGTAATGAATTCCATCTTATCACATTTAATTACATCAATTGTTTCCTGTCAACATTACTACAACGCGTCTTCAATGAATTAACGCATGGATCAAGAATCTAGCATGTTTGGAAGTGGGATTAATGACTTCTGTTCTAGGTTCGCCAACTTGACATCACTCTCTACTAAATCTATCCAGTTCATACTGACACACTATTTATTACGCTACATCATTTGGGGACAACAAACACATCTTTAAGCTGTGGGATTTTCTGTACACTGACACTATAGTAAATGTGCTCATAGTTTAGAGTGTTTGATCATTTTGTAAACCACGTTATTGATGATATCGAGAATAATAAAGCGCATCTTCTTAACGAAGTATAATATCTGAAATAACGACATTAATAATAATTCATAATTGTGCATTTCTCGATAAAATTACATTTATAACAAATCTTCACATAGCTGAATCTATGGCTGACCTTCATACCTTCGTATTTAGTGCAGATGTATTCGATTTTATTCATAAAATAAGAAATTAAATTTGTTGCAAAATAG